TGAAGCAGCGCGAGCAGATGGAGCAGATGAAGCAGCGGATCGCAGAGGTGCGCCGGGCCGGGCGCCTCGGGGCATGCGCGCCACCGGGACCCCGGGCGGCCCGCGCACCTCCCCGGCGCTGGGAGACCCGGGCGGCGGGCTCGAGCTCGGGCCGCTCTCCGGGGCGGGACCCTGGCTCGCTGACCTCCAGCAGGGGACAGACGCGGGCTGGCGGCAGTACCTTCCTCTGGAAAATAGGCCCAGAATCGGGCCCCTTCAGAAGCTGGCACAGCTGGCTCGTGACAAGCCTCCAGCAGGAGAGAGTCACAGTCAATGTTTTTCTTGGTGGTCCTGGGGCTGGGTGGCCCGTGCCCCGGCCCGGGGGATACCGGGAAGGGCAGGTCGTCCCTTCCTGGCGAGGCGTAGGGACAGGCCGCTGAGGCTCACTCCAGAACCCTTTGCACCCGCGACAAAGTCACACATGAGCCTCGGGGGTGGTAACGCGTCCCCCAGCGCGTCAGTGAGTGGCCCGTGATGCTGGGCGCCAGGGATGGAGGATGGACGAGCTCTCAGCTTGACCTTTGGGGGACACTGAGCAGCAGCACGGGGACTTGGGGCACGGGCGGGAGCAAACTCCTACCCTAGGTAAGGGGCAGGCCGGAGCCCGCCTCCGCGCGCATGCCCAGTTCCCTCTTACTGTGTCGGCACGAAGTCCTCGTGCTCTGGCCCCCCTGTCTCAGTGGGGACTCTATGGCCAGCTGAAGGTGCATTTCTCTGCTGGCCACCTCCTTTAGAGGCCACCGGTCAGAGAAGGATCTACGTGGTACCAAGTGGGCTGGGGCCGGGAAGCCGTTGGCAACATCTGGGCTCAGGAGGAAGGAAGATCACTCAGAGAGGGGACAGGCCCCTCAGCCAGTCTTTTCTTTTTTCACCTCTCCTGCCATCCCTTGGCTTGGGTCTCAGGAGCTTCAGCTTAAAGGCTGGGTATGGAAAAGGTCAAAGGTGAGTAGGGCCTGTGGCTCCGGGCCGCTGACGGGGCTCTGGTCTCCAGCAGGAGAACTCAAGGGGCCAGAGCAGTTCGGGGATCGAAGGGAAACGACCCCATTTGGCTCTGTTAGTACTGGAAGAGCCACTCTCGGCCCCATGGAACCTTCCGTCTACCAAGAAAAGGGGACGTGTCTTTTCCAGGGTCACATCGTAGTGAGTCCAGGGGCAGATCTGGGACTACAACCCAGGTCCCCAACAGCTAGCCTGCCATTTCCACGGGGGTCGCGGGGGTGGGTGGCCCTCCATGCCGCTGTCCTTCCCCGGCAGGAGAACATAATGAAATCCAACATCGACAAGAAGTTCTCTGCGCACTACGATGCCGTGGAGGCGGAGCTCAAGTCCAGCACCGTGGGTGAGCAGGGCCCACGTGCCGCCCTCTCCCGGGCCCTGGGGTCGCTCCCGCGCTGGGCCCGGGTGATGGGCCCGTCCCGCCGTGTTTCCTTGCCTGCCAGGTCTCGTTACCCTGAATGACATGAAGGCCAAGCAGGAGGCGCTGGTGAAGGAGCGGGAGAAACAGCTGGCCAAGAAGGAGCAGTCGAAGGAGCTGCAGCTGTGGGTCCCCTCCTCCCGGGGGCAGCGTCCCCTCAGGATGTAGCCAGGGCGTGGGGTCTCCTGGGCGCAGGCTGGGCTGTTCGTGCCCCGGGTGGGACCCTGGGTCCTGCTCGGGGAACAGGTGTAGCATCTAGTTTGGGATTTGTGTTTCTCTCTTCTCCCTTTTTGGGCCCATGCTAAAGTCTTTTAACGTCAGTGGTTTGTCCTCTCTGGGCCCTTTCCTTTCACCGGGTGCCTGGACGGCCTGCATGCTTCCCGTTCCTCTCTGTCCCATGACCCGTGTCCCTCAGTGGCCACTGTGTTGTAGTCAGAGCCTTGCGCATGAGCTTGGAGTGACCCAGGACAGTGAAATCCCCCTGGGGTGCTGGGGAGGGCCAGCCCGTGCCGTGTGGGCCCCCCGCTGAGCACGCGGGTGGCTCCGGGCCAGGGAAGGGGCTGCCCGGTGGGGACGTGCTGCGTGATGGCCACCTGCGCCTTGGCAGGAAGCTGGAGAAGCTGCGAGAGAAGGAGCGGAAGAAAGAGGCCAAGCGGAAGATCTCTAGCCTGTCCTTCACCCTGGAGGAAGAGGAGGACGGCGGCGAGGCGGAGGAGGAGGTGGCCGTGTACGAGGAGGAGCTGGACAGGGAAGGTGAGGGCAGGACCCACCGCCGGCCTCGGCGCCCACCGTGCTCATGTCCCGCGCCTCCCGCTCAGCACTCAGCGAGGGGCTCAGTCACAGCCCGGCCTGCGGGCCCTGGGCAGGGGACGCCGTGCAAGAGGCTGTAGAGCAAGCTGGTGCCTGGTCAAGAAGGCTCCAGAAGCTGCCTTTCACGGGGTCCCAGTCGGATAGTCCGAGGCGGGGAGATGGCCTAGACCAGGCTGGCCGCTGAACTTCCTGCGATGACAGGGATGTTCATGTCTGGGCTGCCCAGTATGGCAGCCACTTGCCACGGGTGGCCGCTGAGCACCTGCCATGTGGTTCGTGTGACTGGAGCACTGAATTACTAATTCAGTTTGGTGTGTTGCAATATCAATTTGCATGGCCACAGAAATTCAGTGGCTACTAGTTGGACACTGCAGATCTCAACTGTGACAATGAGGGGCCATCAGGGACGACTTGGGGAGGCTGGGGAGTGAGGCCAAAGGCAGCCTGGCACCCCTGAGTACCGCACACCTTCTGTGTGCCTGGCTGAGGGCACATGGAGCAGCGTCCCTCTCCTAGCAGAAGCACTCAGGGCTGTCCAGATTGCCGCTGTGGCCAGGGCCCAGAAAGGCTAGCCCAGGGCTCAGAGAAGGTGTCCTCTGGGGCACGGTTGAGTTGGGCCTTAAGGAGGAGGGGATTTCCTTAGCCAGAGATATGGAAGGGGTGGGCAGAGTATATGGGCAGAAGATACACCGGGCATGAAACAGGGCAGTAATGAATGAGTGGGTACATTTGAGGACTGGGAGCAAGGGTGCCAGGCCTCCGGGGAGGGCACCGAAGCAGGCCTGAGCTGTTTTAGAAATTGCGATGCTCAGGGAACGGCAGTGGGAGGGAACCGAGGCAGGGGGTGGCGTGGCGTGGCTGTGGCAATGGGCTGGTGCAATGGCTTTGAGGGGAGTGGCTGGGCTGTCAAGAGGAAGAAGCTGCCAGCCACCTGCGATTTTGGTTTTGCCTGTTCCAGGAACCGCAGCGGAAGACACAAAAAGAAACAGATGGAACTTTAGGCTGCATTGTACCCGAGCCTGGGCATCCGCAGTAGCTCGCACTAGCTATGTGTCTGGTGCTTGGCGCTACTACGTGTGGCAGGAGCTACTGTTTTGGACAGCACAGGCCTGGGGGGAAGGTTGTCAACCTTGCTATGTGTCATTGAGGCTTTTATTGTGGTTTTTGGTTTTTGGTTTTTGGTGGCTGGCCAATAAGGGGGTCAAAACCTGGGCCTTGGTGTTGTCAGCACCACACTCTAACCACCTGAGCTAACCAGCCTTTAGAAAACTGCTTGGTGGGCTCTTCCCTCCCTCCAGAGGTTTCGCTTTGGGGGCCCAATGGGATCCTGGCATCTGTTTTTTTAAAGCCCTCCCTGTGATTCTAATGTGCAGTCAGGCTCTAGAGCCTCTGCCCTAGAGTGTCCAGCTAAAGAACATAGGCTTGATTTCTAGGTCTGTGATTCTCAAAGCGTGCTCCAGGGACCTCTGGGGGTCTGAGAGACCCTTACAGGGGTCTGTGAGATCAAAACCGTTTTTGTAATCATGCTAAGATGTTCTTTGTCTCCTTTTGCTCCAGAGATCACCACAAAGAAGAGGAAATTGGGGAAGAATCCAGACGTGGACACTAGCTTCTTGCCTGACCGAGACCGGGAGGTAAAGAGCCTGGCTCTGGCTCTGACCCAGACTGTGACATTGACCTTAACCGTGACCCTGACCCCAGCCCTGGAGGAGGTGCTCACTCGGGGAGCAGGACCCTACGTGCACCCCGAGCAGCCTTGGGCCTCACTCCCTTGCCCATTTCTTCTCCCAGGAGGAGGAAAATCGGCTCCGGGAAGAGCTGCGGCAGGAGTGGGAAGCCAAGCAGGAGAAGATCAAGAGTGAGTGCTCTCAGTGTGGGTGTGATATGCCAACAGGGCCCTGGGCAGCGGGCTTGGGGACACTCGGGTCTGGAGACCAAGAGGCAACTCTGCTTTCTAGGCGAGGAGATTGAAATCACCTTCAGTTACTGGGATGGCTCTGGGCACCGGCGGACAGTCAAGGTAGGCAGCGTGGGGCTGCTCCCCGTGCGCCCAGCCTCCCTTGGGTCCGGTGGGAAGGAACTGACAATCCTGACTTCAGGAGACCCCGGGGACCCTAAGGATAACGGGAAGAGGGCCTGGCCCTGTGCAGGGTGGGGGGAGTGGGGCGCAGGCTGTCCGGAGGTGCTGCAGGTCCCGGCAGGGGCCTTCTTGAGAGCCCTTCTGCAGGCTTGTATCTTCCCTTCCTCACTCCTTGGCTTCCTGATGCCGGCTCTCGGGCCGCTCGCGCAGATGAAAAAGGGCAACACGATGCAGCAGTTCCTGCAGAAGGCGCTTGAGATCCTGCGTAAGGACTTCAGCGAGCTCAGGTGAGGGCCGTGTGGCTGTGTGCTGCCCGGCACAGTGGCCGCTGTGCTCCCAGCAGAGGAGTGTCGGGCTCCTTTTTCCTTCCCTCCCCGCACAGAGCTTAGGTGGGAGCGCCCCGCCTGGTTCCTTAGCCCAAGGGTGGAGGACAGTGGGGCACCAGTCCCAGGCTCACCGAACCACGGAGCTCCCCTGAAAGCGTTCAGGCTGCCACCCCCTGCCCCCAGCGCTGGCTGTCCTTAGTGGGCTGCTGCCCCCTTCCCTGGGCAGAGGATGCCGTCTGTCTTTCCATCCCTTCCTGCCTCTGTCCTTCAGGTCAGCAGGCGTGGAGCAGCTCATGTACATCAAGGAGGACTTGATCATCCCACATGTGAGTCCCTTCAGCCGTGGGTTGTGCAGTGGGTGCCTCATCCCAGGCTTCAACAGGAGCGACCCCACTCAGCTCTGGGCTCTTTGGCCTGGGCTGGTGGCTGCGGGGTATCTGGCCTGTGGGCAGGGGCTGGGAAAGGCCAAGATGGGCCATAAGCCGTCACTTTCCTGTCATCGGCTCCTAGCATCACAGCTTCTATGACTTCATCGTCACCAAGGCGCGAGGGAAGAGTGGTGAGTGCTCCTGGCCTAGCGGCCCAGCACGCCAACCTGCCCCAGGCACCGGCAGAGCGTGACACTGGGACGTCTGCTTCTGCCCCACAGGACCTCTCTTTAACTTCGACGTTCATGATGATGTGCGGCTGCTTAGCGATGCCACCGTGGAGAAGGATGAGGTACAGTGGTGCTGGGGGCACTGGGCCAGGGGCAGAGGGCAGGGCAGGAGG